CTGCAATTACAAATGCATAAATAATGTTTTGTACGGTGGCCGAGAAGTGCAAAGCAGATCACTTTCTTTGCACTTTATTAGACAAATTCTCAATTTTTCGAAGTTGTAAATAAAACATTATTGGAGTATGTTTTAGAAGAAAACACTACTTCACTTTCTACTTTGTGAAATTTAGCAATTTTTAAATTAGAATTGTTTCAAAGTCAGTCCTACACCAGTTTTGACAGTTCTGCTGTTAATAATGCTCATGTGGAGTGATTAATTAATGACAGTCTCTCATTAGAATCGTTTAGCAGAGTGTTGTTGATGAATCTGTTCTGACAGCTGTGAGGATGCATTGCAGCTGAAATCTTGAGTCGAATGTGTTGGCAGGACTAAGATGATTTTCAACATCTGCTCTCAGTTTCTTCCTCCAAACTCAACCGGGCTCAGTCCTATCAGAACCGCACTCCTTCCCCTCCCACGATGCCTGAACTGGAATTCATTGTGGTTTCATCTGAAGCACCAGGACAGGAAGTGGTTTGGATTTATCTGCAGCTTTTGTTTAACTTCCAGCCTTCTTCTGAGAACGGCTGATGTAGTTTTCTTAAAGTCACATCTCTGATAATGACAAAACAGCTTCCATTTCGGCTTCTGCTGTGAGTTTGACTCCTAATGTCGTCTCTCGGTTTGGATGGATGGGATTCTGGATTGTTTCTTGCTTTGTGTTGGGATTTGATGAGGTTTTATCTGATGGAAAGTGGTCCGGTCCTCATGTTTGCAATTTTTCTGTGTGTCCTTGGAGTTTGCGTGCAATAGAGTCCAACAGTGGCTTTTTAAGTGTTTACATTTTCTCTAACCAACCAGCGCTGAGATAAGCCACAAAGTTGATTCAAAGCAAAAACTATTTTAAAAAATATTTTTTTTTTAGTTAACTCATCCCATGAAGCATTGCAAATTATGGAAACAGAAACGACAGTACAATATGAAACTATAACTTATATCATAGATTATAAGCACAAGTCTGTTGCAAAGTATTCAAACATGCAGATATATAAGTTTTTTGAGAGTCCAGGGAGTCTGAATCCATTACGTCATTTGCGTTGCTTCATTGGAGTGGGCGATCATTGCACAACGTTTTTGCTGTGATTCCTGTTTCTATGGTTACAATGACTTCTGTAATTAGTGGATTTGCTTTAAGATTAAAGGAATAGTTCATCCAAAAACGAACATTTGCTGAAAATGTGCTCACCGTCAGATCATCCAAGATGTTTGTGTCTTCATCAGATTTGGAGAAATGTAGCATTGCATCAGTGTCTCAGCAATGGATGCTCTGCAGTGAATGGGTGCCGTCAGAATGAGAGTCCAAACAGCTGATAAAAACATCACAATAATCCACAAGTAATCCACACCACTCCAGTCCAGCAGTTAATGTCTTGTGAAGACAAAAGCTGAGTGTTTGTAAGAAACACTTACTTATTCTGACGGCACCCATTCACTGCAGAGGATCCGTTGGTGAGCAAGTGATGCAATGCTACATTTCTCCAAATCTGATGAAGACACAAACTCATCTACATCTTGGCCTGAAGGTGAGCACATTTTCAGCAAATTTTCATTATTGCGTTAACTATTCCTTTAAGTGAGTTTGGCTGTTGAATAAGTGTTTTAAAAATGAAGTGACACTGACTTGTGTCAGCTACAGACATTGAACCTCAAAGCTTATGGTAGATCTTGAAAGCTTTAATTTTGGGGAAAATGAATGGGATTTTACTTCTGGACCCTGACTGTTGTGGTCTATTATAACCAACAGCACTGAGACACAGAATGCATTAGGCTTGCTGTGTATTTGCATGCATGTTGGCGTGTTTATTTGTCTATTTATTTGCACGTGTGTGTCTCCTAGATCTCTTGATGAATGCAGCTGGCCTGGCTTCACAAATCGCAGCGTGCATTTTCAAGGAGTTCATTCACAAAGCCAGAAAATGGTCCATCCACTCGCAGACCTGAGTCTGAATCTGAGAGTGTTATTATGGTGCAATTACGGTCTGTTCGGTAGCCATTAGATGAACGTGGAAGTACAGCACAGCCTGAGATTGGCATCATTATCAGAGCCGTGAGAGGAAATGACACGCTGCAGATGAGATGATTGCAGTTTGCGTTTACATTTATAATAATTTACATAACAGACGGTTGCTTGCCAAACCGACTTACACACAGCAGTCTGGGGTTAGAGCGGATTTTCAGACTTTCCTTCTTTTTAAAATAAAAGTTTCAGAACTTCCTCAAAACTTCCTCCTCAGTCCAAAAAATCTTGTTTACAGTGACACGTTGACATTTACCTGTCAATGATATCTACAAGATTATCAGACAGTTCCATTCCCTCACAGAGAAGTAATTAGGAGGAAGAATAGAGACCATTATTCCTTAAAAGCATTTTGTCTTATTGATTTATGATGCAATTTGATGCATAACAGTAGACCATATAGAAGTTTAAAATCACAACTTTTTAAATAAATATTTCAGAGAGGTGGTGCAAAATGATTGTAAAAAATAATTTTCCCTTCACCTCAATGAAAAAATATGATAAAATGATTATATGACCTCTGAAACTTGTCAGTTTCACGCGAACGTTTTGGCTCAATTCTTGAATCACATTTTTTTTTCTTTCACAATTAGTTTCATGTTCAAACCAGATTTGAATTTCTTATTAATTTAAGCAAATTGCATGTATTTTAACCCACGTATGCAAAAGAATAAGTAACATTTTTCTCATTTGCATTGACTCAGTTCTCTCTTTTTCCCCTCAAACCAGTAAAGTTCGCATCTCTGAATAATCAATTTCTTGTTCACACCAGATTTTAATTTCTCATTAATTCAAGCAAATTGCACGTTTTGGCCCATATGCGCAAAAGAGTAAGTAAAGCTTTCTACAATTTTTCTACAAAATTGCATGTCTGCAAAATGCAGTTACTCACCCAAAACTCGTGCTTCGAAACCTGGTTATTGTGTAAGTAAATTGACCAGAGCCACCAAAATGAAAAGTTGGTCTAAATGCTCAATATGTTTAGATGTTTGTTTCAGCATGGCAGTCAATTCTGGAAATGTTTGTTGTATAACAATTAAGGGGCGATATGACGGAAATCTTATATCATGATATGAGTAATTTTATTTCCCGTATCGTTATATATCACAATATAGTTATTTTTGCTTTAAATAAGGTCTTTATGATCAACATTTTTGATACCATAGAGTTGTCATTATTCTTGTCACCAGTGTCAATATCACCAAAAACGAATACTAGCCTAAATTTAAAAAAACAAAAACAAAACTCAAGCTCACTGAAGACAAGTCAACAGTCGGCGATTAAATAAGAATAAGAAACTAATTACAAGCAACGGGACAAAAATCTACAGTAGAACAAATAAAAAAAATGCTAAATACATTGTATAAAGTAAACAAATGTATAAAAACACTGCATATTCTTCACCGTGTAAATTAAATATATATTTCTTCAAAAGTTAAAGTTACAAAAGGAATATTAGACTGCTGTCACTTTAAGAGCTGCCCGGATCCAGTATACTGTTACTATACATATGTGCTTTCTTTCTCAACTGTTTGCTTTCACTCAAGTAATTAAATTACTTAAATTACTGTGTTGATGAGGATACTTGCAAAGAAGGGCATTTTGACTCAAACAAGTGTGTGTATTTAACCGTTCAAGGCCTATAAAGCGGCAAAAAGTCTATGAGCACCATCTTCACGTGCGCGCGCCTCTCTGACAGCGCATATAGCCAAATGAGTTCTCTTTCGCTGCTGATTGTGTTTCAGCGGCTTAAAATCACTTGTTTTTAAACCGCAATGCTTAAAGTGTGCAAATGATAAGTTTTCGTGACCATGTTGCACAGCAACGTCACGTGAGCATGTAAACGCGATAGAGACGATAGTCCAAAATCTCTGCCGATTGACACATTTCTAACGGTATATCGCCCACCCCTAATAGCAATATCATTTTTGGTTTGTTTTTTCCACTGACTGCTTACTAAAGATATATTTAGTCTATAATGATATATTAAATTTTGTCTGGCTGTTCATCTTTTTAGATCAACAGTAGGTAAAAGTTTACTGAGAAAAGCAGTACTGTAGTACACACACAAACATTTAGCAGACGTCAATCAGAGCTATTTATAATAGAGACGATAGTCCAAAATCTCTGCCGGTTGACACATTTCTAACGGTATATCGCCCACCCCTAATAGCAATATCATTTTTCGTTTGTTTTTTCCACTGACTGCTTACTAAAGATATATTTAGTCTATAATGATATATTAAATTTTGTCTGGCTGTTCATCTTTTTAGATCAACAGTAGGTAAAAGTTTACTGAGAAAAGCAGTACTGTAGTACACACACAAACATTTAGCAGACGTCAATCAGAGCTATTTATAAAATATACATGTATTTCTGAGAGATTTTGATTTTGATGGCTCACATGGTGAAAACATTTTTAGAAATTTTGCACTGAGAATTTTGCTCTCATCAGTTTTGATCAACAAGCCATGTGCATTTATGCAAATTGTAGACAAATGTACTTTTGTGCCAAAACATATGCAGTCTGCTTAAATGCATTAGAAGTTTAAAGCTAGCAGGAACAAGAAACGAATTGTTCAGAAATCTGAGCATTGTTTTGAAAAACAAAATACTCATTTGAGCCAAAGCGACGAAAACTGAGAAACACTGTAAATGTTTTGGGTGAGTTACTATGCATACATGCAATAGAGTTGTGATGTCCCATATAACAGTTGTGACAATTGCATTTACAGTTTAGAGAAGGTTAGGACCGTTTTTAAAAAATGAGCCAAATCGATTGAGGAAAACTATAATACCACATTAGAGTTAAAAAGTTTTCGATTATGCTATATTGCAAATGTCAAACATGCATTAATGCAGACGTGTGTGCAGTTTTAGGCTGGTGGGTTTCACGTGGAGAAGCGTTCACACTTCAGAGTGACACCAAACGCTCGGCAACATCATGCTTATCAAAGGGTGTCTGTGGGGTGCTGTTGCCATAGTAACCAGCAGCAGCCCTGAGGGCTCACCTGTGGCTGTCATGCGTGTGTTCCCTCATGATCTGCACAGGTAGAGACGCCCATGCCACACACTCACACACACACACACACACACACACACACACACTCGACATGGAGACGGTGAAGAGCTCTTCTCAGCCCGCTTACAGCCACTGGTCATACAGGTACACACACACACACACACACACTCGACATGGAGACGGTGAAGAGCTCTTCTCAGCCCGCTTACAGCCACTGGTCATACAGGTACACACACACACACACACACACTCGACATGGAGACGGTGAAGAGCTCTTCTCAGCCAGACAAACAGAGGCTTAGTGTTCAAAGCTTGTGTTTCATATAGAGGTGTGTGTGGTTTGTATTCACATGAGGACAGTCACTCTGTTGTGTGTTTGTCAGGTGTGTTTGCAGTCATTAAGCTCACAGTGTTTCATTTCCTGAATGACGCTGCTGTTGTTTCCCAATGCGGACATTTCTTCCTCTATAATGAATGATAGAATGTTTAGTAAATGAGTATAAATTAATGGATTGACGGATGCAGGGTTTATTGACATTGACGGGAAAACACGTTTTGCTGTGATTGATTCCTAAAAATATTACATTAGGTACAAATGCATGGATGCATATATGGATGGATGGATACATGGAGAGATGGATGGATGGATGGATGGATGGATACATGGAGAGATGGAGAGATGGATGGATGGATGGATACATGGAGAGATGAAGAGATGGATGGATACATGGAGAGATGGAGAGATGGATGGATGGATGATAGATGGATGGATGGATGGATGGATGGATGGATGGATGGATAGATGGATAAAAAGAGAACAATTGATAGATATCACTCACATTCCTCACACAACACTGCATTATTACTGCTTCATTTCATCCATTTGATCCTTCTTTCTTTTTTCTTCCTAGATAGATCGATAGATAAAAATATTGAACGATGGATGGATGGAAGGAGTGTGTGAGATGATGGTCAGGTTTGTGTTGGTTGATGTTTTGCTCCTCTGAGATCTTCAGATCCACTGAGAGGCGAAGTTTCCACTCAACACTCGCATTCCTCTCACAGCACTTTCTTTCTTTCTTAACTGGAGAGCATCTGTCAGAGTGTGTGGTTGTCATGTTGGCGCTGGTTACCACAGCGACACAGGAGTCACATCAGACAGCTTGTGTGTCACCTTACCTTCGTCAGCATGAAACATTAATTCAGGTGTGTGTTCGTCATTTTCATCACTGACTCTTCCTCTCTTGTGTTTCTCTCCTCTGCATCCGTCTGTCATCGCCATGGAAACAAAGACCCTCCAGTTCTTCCAGCTTCGCGTCCACTGCCATGACCAGGTACAACAAAATCGCTACTTTATACTATGATGCTTTAATCAAAAATACAAGCTTCATATTTATACTTTTAACGCAGGTCTGAAATGTTTCTCCGGTCTCTGCAGTGTGGGTGTTTATGTGGGTGTGGGTGTGTATTTTTAGACACATAGTCATGTGAAGATGTTTGCGAGAAATTGATTTTCTTTCGTTTGGGTGTCTTTCAGTTGCCTAGCAACACAATGACTGATAGATGACTGATGCCAGTGAAAGCACTCACAATGCAACGTTCAATCTCTCAACATGTCAAATGATGTGTTTTAGATTCAGATTCAGCCATTAGTGAATATAATGAACTTATCTACTGAATGAAATGGTGTAAGTGTGTGTGTGTGTGTGTGTGTGTGTGTGTGTTGTTAATGGGTTTTTATTGTTGTTTGTTGTGTTTCAGCTCACTGGAGGACGACAGTCTGAACCTCAGACAGCAGAAACTGGAGAAACAGGTGAGACACATTTACACGACAAAACATAACACAATCATAAAAACACAAATACACACTTCAAAACACAAAAACACATCAAAACAACAACATGCATCAAAACACAAAAATACACATCAAAATACAAAAAACACTTCAAAACAATAACTGATCAAAACACAAAAATACACATCAAAACTAACATGGATCAAAACACAAAAATACACATCAAAACACAAAAACACATCAAAACAATAACATGGATCAAAACACAAAAATACACATCAAAACACAAAAACACATCAAAACAATAACATGGATCAAAACACAAAAATACACATCAAAATACAAAAAACACATCAAAACAATAACACAATACATAACACAATAAAACACAAAAACACACATCAAAACACAATAACGCGTGACAACACAACAAAACAAATAAACATCCAAACACAATAAAATGCAACAATACAGAATAACACACAATAAATCACAATAATACACAGTGTAGACATTACTTTCCGTTGTGAAATGATTGACAGGTCTTGTTTCCTGTGTCTCCGCTCCTTCAGCGTGAGGTGAACTTAAGTGAAACCTTTCTTCGCTCAAACTCTTATTGTGTCAGCAGCCCTCATTTCTCTTCCTGTCTGTCGTCTGCTGTCATTTCATCCCACTTCTTTCTCACAAACGCACACACTGCCCGGTTCTGCTGTTGTAAGGATGATTCTAGCGAGTGTGCGTCAACTTCTTTCTGTGAGTGTTTCGTTTCTGGGAAGGATTGTGTGTGTTTTTGGTTCATCCTTCTGATGCTTGACTGTTATCGTTCACTTCCTGTGCTGCGCTGAGCTCTCGCTGTTCTTTCATCTCAGCTGTAGTAGATTATCTTTGTATTACAATAGCTGTCAAATGTTGTGATGCTCCTGCTTACTCTTTCGTATGACTGTTTTTCACATTTTATAATCATCAAAACTATGAAAAAACACAAATGGAAGTATGGGAATAATGTAGTGGACAACATGTCGTAGCTTAAATTGCTTATATAGTAGAATAGAATAGTGTTATTTTAGTACTATTTATGTACTAATATTTATTAATATTTTAGCTTTTATTTTAATGTTATTATTTTCTTTTTATATTTAGCTTTAATTAATTTTGCTTTCAGTTTTAGTAATTTTAGTACTTCAACTTGAACTTTTTTATTTCAGTTAGTTGCCAGGACATTATTTTATTTTATTTTATTTTATTTTAGAGTCCATTTATTTTATTGTATTTTATTTCAATTAAAATAAACATAAACCAGAAACATTTTTTAATAGTTTTAGTTGACAATAATAACACTGAAAAGAAACATTTTAAGTTTACGTTAATGTTCTTATAGGTTTAAGTTTTTATGTAATATTTATATTTTATTTCAGCTTAATTTCAATTAACGACAAATGATTTTTAATAGTTGAAGTTAAGAATAACAATATTGGAAGTTTTTGTTTTTCAAGTCTACATTTTTAAGTCTAAGTTTTTATATTTAATATTTAGATATATTATATATTTATATCATATTTTATTTTATTTCAATTACCGAAAAATTAGTTAACAGTAATAACACTGGAATAAAAAGAACATTTCAAGTTCCCATTCATATTTTAAAGTTTAAGTTTTTCTTGTAACGTTTATATTTTTAAATTTTTATCTTTATTTAAATGACTGAAAATGATTTTCAATAGTTTTAGTTAACAATAACAACACTGAAATATAAACACAACAGCAGAATGATGATTCAAGCACAGTAAGTCTCTCAATGTATCTCATGATCTGATTGCATGTTCTCTATAAAGCCACAATAACAGACAACACCCTCGTTTTATATTTGCTCTAATGGTTTGACCCTCTATTAAATACACTGTATGCATCTATTAAATGATGAATAATGAATGATCTGAGTGTGTTAATGGTGTTATTGTGTCTGCAGAGGGCGCTGCTGGAGCAGAAGCAGCGGCGGAAGCGTCAGGAGCCGCTGATGGTCCAGCCGAACTCAGAGGGACGTCCGCGGCGCTCGCGGCCCCGCCGCAGTGAAGAACAAGCGCCACTCGTGGAGACGCACCTCAGCACTGCCAGTGACATCATCCTGGATGGTGAGGCTTTAAAGGGACAGTTCACCCAAAAATGAAAATTTGCTGTTAATGTACTCATCCTCTGGCCATCTGAGATGTAGATGACTTTTTCCTTCAGTAGAACAGTAAAGAAGATCTTCACCTCAAACTGTGGTCCTTTGTGATTCAATCAAAAAAGCACATACAGGCAACAGAAAATGAATACCCGTGGCTCCTGACGATACATTGAGGTCTTATGAAGCGAAACGATCAGTCTGTGCAAGAACCTGAACATTATTTACCACATTATTACCTGTAATCCAGAGAATCAAGAAAACGTGATGCCCGGTTCGTGAACAAAAAAAACGGTTGTTTTTGGTGAACTAGTTGAAGCAAAATTAGACTGAAGCGTCTGAAACAGTTTGCGGCTGGAGCAACACAGATCTACAAGTTACTCAATCAGAACTCACTTTCGGATGCCTGACAGTCACTCCAACTCAAAATGAGTTATAATAGCAGCGTATCTGATCCTATGATGAATGAATCATTCAGTGCTCCAGTTCCTCCAACAGTCACTGAACTGAGGAAACAATTCGACTCAGATTGAAGACTGATGAGCCGCTGATATGAGCATGTGTGAACCGAACACTTGAATGAAGAGGGCAAGTGAACGTTTTTATGGTTTCTCATTGTTTATGTAAAAAGGTGAGCTGATGAAGACTAGTTCATTCACTTTATATGCTTTAGACATGTAAAACATCCACGTTTCACACCATGCTTTAATAATATAATCGCGTATATTGCGTGATTACGCAAACAAACTAGTGAATCGAACCACTTCATTGAAACGAACTGTCGGAAAGAACCAGTTCTCAGAAAAGAATCCTGTTTGCCTGATTCTCTGGATTACAGGTAATAATGTTGTAAATAATGTTCAGTTTCTTGCACAGACTGATCATTTCACTTCAATAGACCTCAATATATCGTCAGGAGCCACAGGTATTCATTTTGTGTTGCCTGATGTACTTTTTGGACTCTTGAAGGGACGGTACCCATTGACGTGCATTTTGTGAATCACCAAGGACTACGATTACAGCTAAAAATCTTCTTTACTGTTTTACTCAAGAAAAAAAGTCACCTACATCTTGGATGGCCTGAGGGTGAGTAAATTAACAGCAAATTTTCATTTTTGGTTGAACTAGCCCTTTAAATCATGACACTCCTCACTGTGCTTTTTATTATTAATCCCACAGTTTTGCATCAATATAGTTTTGGCTTCTCTTATCTGTTTATCAGGACACATATCTGATATTTGTCCTTCATTCTCTCTGGGAGGTTTTTCATTCATTTGCAGTCAGACTTTTTAGTTTCCACTATCAAACAAAAATGATCTCTCTGCCTGCTGAATAGATCTAGAATTAAACATTGTGCTTTGATTTGCATTCAGTATCTCGCCCTGCGGCTGTATGTGTGTGTTGTCCATCAGGCATCGATGGCCCCGCGGCTCTGCTGGGTTCAGAAGCTCCAGATCTGGGCAGTAAGATCCAGGTTCTGTCGGTCAGTCCGCCGCCCGCTGCAGAAGAGCCAGAGACAGACGCCGACACCGACACACTGCTGGAGCCCAAACCGGACATACACACTCTGCTGCAGAGACGCGGTAAGACACACACACACACTCACATGCACACACGCACACACACACACACACTCACACACACACACACACACAAATTGCTAATTTATTTCACAAAAATGGTTGACACACACACGCACACGCACACGCACACACACACACACACACGCACGCACGCAAACACACACGCACGCACGCACATACACACGCTCACATGCACACACGCACACGCACACACAAACGTCTATAACGAAGTTATAGACACTTACATGTTGTCCTCTTAATAAGAAGTTTACTAACTTTTTTTATAACTTTGAACATTTATATGCAAAACAGTACACAAAATGTATAAAGAGTGTAAAAAGAACAAAACTATTAAGAACTATAGAGAGTTTACTACTATAAATTATATTACCGAAAGACTGCTGGGGACATTTTAAAAATGCCAAAAAGAGCACACAGTCTGTGTGTGTGTGTGTGAGTGTGAGTGTGTGTCTCAGGAGGCTGTGTAAATGGCAGTCCTCGTCTCAGTGCAGCAGCTGTTGTTTCTCATCTCAAGCTCTTTAAACTCTGTTTCTCTCAGGACTTTCTGGCAGCATGAACTACGACGAGGCCAGTGAGGATGATGATGATGATGATGATGATGATGAAGCTGAAGAGCCGAACACAGAGAGCACTCGTCCTGCGTCGGCCTCCAGCACCAAATCCACCACGGTCAGACAGACACAACAACCTACACATAAACAGAGTCACGCCGTTTTGGGCAAATGGACTCTTAAGTGTCTGCGTATTTCTGCTAAACTCTCAGTGCTCCGCGAGCATTGCTATAGTGTTGTCCTACAGCAAACTGTAGCAAACTCTTTCTGTCTTATCATATAACTGTCAATTTACAAATAATTACAATATAGTATATTATATATATTAGTAACTATAGTAAACATAACATTTTAGTGTATTATATTAAACCGCAATGCTTCAGTGAATTACAGAAGCTTTAAATAAAAAACTAAATAAAAAAATACCATTTTGTTTTGCTAATCAAAATAAAAAATATATAAAACATTAAAAATATACTTAAATATAAAATAAATGGATTAAAATAAATAAATAATGGGAAAATAGCTTAAAATAAATAAATAATAAAAGTAGATTAAAATAAATAAATAATGAAAAAAGATTAAAATAATAAAATATTAAAAAGAAAAAATTATTAAAATAAATAAATAAATAATGTGAAAATAGATTAAAATAAAAAATAAATAATGAAACATTTTCTTAAATAAATAAATGTTAGATTAAAAATTATAAATAATAAAAATTTTATTAGAATAAATTAATAAATACTAAAACATTAGATTAAAAATATAAATACAATTAAATTAAAATAAATGAATTGATTAATAAATAATTAAAATAATAAAATATTTTAAAAAGTATTTCAAATATTATGTAACAATTGAAATAAATAATAGATAAAAATCTAAATATACAATTAAATTATCTATTTGTTTAAAATATAAATAGATAAAACTAAGTAAATAATAAAAAAAGAGATTTAAAATAAATGAATAATAATTAAAAATTGGAATAAATAAATAAATAAAAACACCTTAATAATAGTGGACCATATCAATATTGCTTTGTCCTGTTGTGTAACACTGCCTCAAGGTTTCATTTTGTGCTTAATTTTCTCAGAATTTCCATACACTGCACTGCATTGGAAGTTGCAGTGGCCTAAAAGCGGAAGCGATTGTGCATAGAGTCCATTAAACTCTGAATATTAAACTGGGATATGGGAAAGTATTTCATTCAGTTTGTGAACTTTCCTCATGTTCTCAGAGACAGAGATGAAAATCATGTTGCACCCTGTGAGAATAATGAATGATATGTCTGTTAGAGGACTAAATGTGTGTGTTTTGTCTTCTGTCCCGTCAGGAGTGTCTCCCGCTGGGTTCTCCGTCGGCTGAGGGCTCCTCCGTTGAGGTGGATAATCTGGAGGAGTTTGTGCTCCGTCCGGCTCCGCGGGGAGTCACGGTCAAGTGTCGCATCTCGCGGGACAAGAAGGGCATGGACCGCGGCCTCTATCCCACGTACTTCATGCACCTGGAGAGAGAAGACGGCAAGAAGGTCTGATCTGAACGCATCGCATCCTTCACAATCACTTCTGCTCACGTTTAATCGCTCTCTCTCTCTTTCATCAGGTGTTCTTATTGGCCGGACGCAAGAGGAAAAAGAGCAAAACATCCAACTATCTGATCTCTGTAGATGCCACAGATCTGTCCCGTGAGGGCGAGAGCTTCATAGGAAAACTGAGGTGCATGTCTCGTGTTTTTTGTGTTAATTCATCTCGTCTCAGGAGATTCAATCACAAGTGACCTCCAAACGATTGAGGGCGAGAGCTTCATAGGAAAACTGAGGTGCATGTCTCGTGTTTTTTGTGTTAACTCATCTCGTCTCAGGAGATTCAATCACAAGTGACCTCCAAACGATCGGATCATATTTAACACCGTGAACTTGCGATCAATCGGATGTTTCTGGTTCAGTACAAGATCTATTGACAGCGTTTGTGACATCCAGAAAATTTCAACTCATCCCTTTTATTTTAAAGCGTAAATTGTGGTTTCAGTACTGCGTTTTTAATCGAAGCACATGAGCATGACGCTAAATAAAAGGGAGTGTTGGGGGGGCGTGAAAAAGTTAGGAATAAAAACAGTGTACAAAATGTAAATAAATAAATTAAATGTAAATTATTTAAATAAATAAATTAATAAAATAATAATAAATTAAATAAAATTTATTAAATAAAAAAAATACAAAATTAGATTAAAATACATAAATAAAAAAAATTTGTTTAAAATAAATAATATTTTTTTTATAAATAAATAACAGTGCTGTCAAAAGATTAAACGTGATTAATCGCATCCAAAATATATTTTTTTGTTTACATAATATATGTGTGTGTACTGTGTATATTTATTATGTATATATAAATACACACACGTGTGTATATATTTCAGAAAAATATGCTGTTTATATATTAAATATATTTATATATAATATAGATTTTATGACTATAAATATATACATGTAAATATTTTCAATATATATACTGTATGTGTGTGTATTTATA